TAAATCCCACAGACCTATATCACTTAACTCATGCCTAGCCAAAACGCTCGATAAGATAGTGGCAAAAATGTTATGGTGGTTTGTTTTGAACAACAAACTAATTCACAACAGCCAACTAGGCTTTAAAAGAGGCAAATCGGTACTAGACAGTCTACTCTACGTAGACCATCTAGCTACCATCTAGCTATCCCTTGACTTCACCAAAGCTTTCGACAAAATAGGAATCCACTCCATCATTCAACAACTAAAAAAATGGAAAGTAGATCCACGAATGTTACAATATGTCATAAGCTTCATGTCAAACAGGAAAATTCTTGTGAAAAGTTGCTCTAACCTCTCGAACACCGGCCCACTCCCCAACGGCATACCCCAAGGCTCCCCCATCTCACTTATCCTTTTTCTTATAGCGTACAACCCACTCTTCACTGCATACGCTGACGACTACCTCCTTATCATCCAACACAGCAAAAAGGAAAAGCCCCACAACCGACATCCAATCAATCCTCAACCAAATAAACAACTGGTGCACTCAGTCAGGAGCAGACCTCTCCAAAGACAAAACTCCTACACATATGTCGCAAGCATACATAACTGCAAACCAAAATTCTTTACTGGCAACACATCCATCAACCAAAACAGCTCACTCAGACTACTAGGCCTCACACTCAACTCCAGATACAACTGGAATTCGGACATCAATAAATTCAAAATAGACCTTTCCAAGCCACTGGGCATTATCAAACACCTCTCGTCCTTAAAATACAACTGCCACACCTCAACACTTGTACAAATTATGAAATCTCTAATCATATCCAAAGTAGACTTCTGCCTCCCCATATACGGTTACGCACCAAAAAGCCAGCTTAACCGCCTGAAAACTACGATTAATGCAGCAACAAGAGTCGCCCTGGGTGCATTCCGCACCACACCCACTAACAACCTTCTATCCGAAGCCAACTTACACACCTTGGATAACAAGCGAGACTTTCTAACAGGCAAAATATTCAAAAACCTCATTCACGCTAAAGACTCCCCCCTAAACACACTCCCAAAAAACCTAAAAAAAAAAAACACAGATTGCTAAGCACGATTGACAGAGCCAAATAAATTTCCCAGAATAACCTCATACCGTTCTCCCCGATTAAAACCTCCAAGACCAATAAATTCAACATGACAACCATCCTTAAATCAACCAACATCCCCTATCCAAACACTATAAAAACACCACCCCCCCCCCCCAATAGTCTTCCACCAACTCTTCCACACCATCAAATCCAACCTCCACCAACACACCTTCCTATACACAGACGGGTCCAAAGCAGCAGGCATTACCAGCTATAGCATCTGCAGTGAGTCATCAACCATAAAATCCGGACTACTTCCACAGTACTTACACAGTATTAAGCCGCAAGAAACGCGGAAGATACGTTATCTGCACAGACTCACTCTCTTCTATTTCCGCAATTACCAATCCCAACAATTCCTCGTACTACCCCACCACAATCCGTAACCTCGTCACCAAACTATTCCCAAAATAACAATTATCTGGATACCTAGCCACATTGGCATAACAGGGAACGAAATTGCTGACACCGCAGCCAAAGCTACCTCCAAACAACCCCCAATCATAATTCTAACAACATCTCACTATTCCTTAAGAAAATCCTCCTATCGAAACAAACAGACCTCCTCACTAAGACTTCCCCATGGTACCAACAAGTTATCAATCTATCTTCCACTCATCCTCCCCCCAAAAACATAAACAACCTTAACAGAAAACACCAAGTCATCCTAAACAGACTGAGACTAGGGCACACAAGATTCACCAATGCCCACTACATGGATAAAACATCCTCCAACGCATGCCCACTGTGCCACAAACCAACCATAGACATAAGACACATACTATACATATGCCCCACACTCTCTCTACAAAAATCCACAATATTCCATAACACCGACCCCATTCAATACATCTCCACCCCAAACAACAATAACGCAAAAATAATAATCAACTACCTAGTTCAATCCAAAATCATTCACTACATATAAACTCATAAACTATCATCCCTGTACATATACATATATACACAACTAGTATACTAGATAATAATTCCTTTACAACATACAATATCGTATAAAACCAACCCTGTAAATATATGTATATAAATTCATACATACTCAAGTGAATAATTATACCATAGCGAGCTTAAGGCCTCAGTAGCTATAGCCCCACACATTGTTAATACCTAGTTTTATCTATTTATTAGCTTTATATAATAATAATAATAATAATGACAATTTATATGCATCCATAGCCCATTGTATCCACCTTTAGCGCAGCGAAGCGCAGCCACGGCGCAAACACAGCTCGGGTTAAGTTCCCAGCTCGGGATCCTCCGCTCCCATCATGAAGCTCCACAAGCGACGGCGCTGCGGACGCGGCTTTGACCCCTTCTGCTATGCTGTGAAGGTGACCGTGATCTGTGCTCTGCTCAGCCTCGCCGCCAACCAGCTGGCAGGCTCCTCCAGCGTCGGGTATGGGAGCAGTTTGGGCAGCGAGTTCGTGCCCTGCACTCAGATCAGTGTCCAGAAGCGCTGGACACGCAGCCTGGCGCGCATGAACAGCGAGAGTCCGCTGCGAGCGGCGGATCTGAACGGGGATGGCGTCCAGGATGTGATCTTTGGCTATGGCGTGGACGACAACATCCACTACGAGGGCATACCCCTGCCCAGATGCAAGTCCTCCCAGGGCGAGGACGAGGTTCCCTGCGAGGGCGGTGTGGTGGCCCTTAATGGCAGGGATGGCTCCATTCTGTGGCAGTCCTGGAGCGTGGCCAATGTCTTCTCGCTGCACTGCAGCGCCGATGTGGACGGGGATGGCGGCACGGATTGTGTGGCAGCTGGAAGACTGGGGGTGAGCATTATTAAAGTCTTTTCGTGGCTGAATCCTTACCGGAAATCCCTTTTGTTAGATGATTTATGCCATCAATGGACGCACTGGCTCGGTCATCTGGCACTTTCGTGAGCTGGAGGTGGAGACCAATTCCCCCATCGTCATGGATCTCTATACGATCAATGTTCTTCGCGATCTGGATGGCGATGCAGTTCCCGAGCTGATTGCCGCCCATCTGGAGGAGCGCGAAGAGTCCAAGGCGGGGCACATCAAGCTGATCTCCGGGAAGACGGGCAAGGTCATCCGCAGCATCCCCACGCCCTACCGCGAGGAGATGTTCGTGCCCATCCAACTGCTCACCCAGGCGGACGGCACCGATGTCCTGCTGATCCTCACGGGTGGCCAGAACACCCCCGGAGGAGTCTACTCCCTCCGCCTGCACTCGTTGATGGCCCACACGAGTGAGAAGCATTTCACGCCGCTCTACCAGCAGCCGGGATCGGGTCTGATGGTCCCTGCCGTACTCACCGATCTCAATGGAGACGGCATCTCCGATGTGGTGGTGGCCGCCTTCAACAGCACCGTCTACGCCTTCAACGGTGCCAACTACAGCGTCATGTGGAACTACACCTTCCCCGCCAGCGAGTGCGTGAGTGCCATCGTGCCGGGCCACTTCAACCACGACAATGTCACCGATTTCATGGTTAAGTACAACTCGGGACCGGGCTTCCCCGTCTACTACTACTCGCAGACCACCATCCTGGACGGACGCACAGGACAGCCCCTGCTCAACGCCATGATGACGGATGCCGGTGGGGCGAACAGTCTCCTCGGGGGAGTCTCCATTTCGCAGAGCTTCGGGGGAGACTTCTTCCTGCACTGGCAGATCCAGTGCCGCAATAAACCCAATGCGCGGGATGCCTACGAGTTCGTGCCGGACAGCGACATCATCCTGCAGGCCCGGGCGGACACCTGTCGCCTTCGCTACAATGAATCCACGGTGCTGAAGCTCTACGCGATTGCCCGGCACATTGAGCCGCCAGGAGCGGTGCTCTTCAGCACCGACGATCTGGAGGTGCAGCTGAATCGCACACAGCGGCCAGCTCCAGCCGGCAAGAAGTCGCCGCTCAAGCACCCGAAACTGCTCAAGAATCTGCTGGCAAGGGAGCAGCTTCAGCGACGCAAGGAGACCACATCAGCCACATATCAGCCACATCAGGCCACAGCAGCCGGCGAGGAGGGAGGAGCAGAGGAGTCCGATTGGTATTTAGCCTCCATTTCCTCCACTGGGGTTCTGCTGAAGGCCCTGGGCAATGCCAGCTCGTCACTGGACTTTGCCTTTGTGCTCAACATACGCGAATCGGAGGCCTATCCGCCGCTGTTCTCCCCCCAGGATCTCAGCTGCGTGGAGGAGAAGATCAGCGCCTATAAAAGTGAGATCATAGGAAAGAAAGTGAAATCTGTATATTGTTATTGTCTATTTTGCAGGCTATACCATCGATAATTTGCGCGTTTTGCGCAAACAGTTCCTCAAGCAGTGCCTCAACGAGCGGCTTGTGGACTCGGAGCCCGCTCTGCCCAAATACGAGTCGCAGTTGATTGTGACCCGCATTGGGATCACATGCACCTGCCGATCGCTGCAGCCGGGCGAGGTCTGCTCCGAGCTGGATCCCATGGACGCACAACGTTGGACGGAGTTCATGGGTAACCATGGTCATGGTTACTATGCTAATCGCTAATCGCAATAGGACAGGAGCGGGTAGAAGCAGCAGCTGCGGTTTGGTTTTTTTGGCCGCCGCGGCCTGCAAAATGCGATTCCTTTAACTCTCTCTCTCTCACTCTATTTGTCTCGATGTCACTATTGTAATTAATCGTAATTTACGTGTTGTGGGGTTTCTTGTAATGGTAACACAGTATTTACATGTGTATTTGTGTATATTTTATGAGTTTTTTTAAATAAATAAAGTACAATTAATTCAATTTAAAAGTGCGCCGCGATAAGCGTTATCGATAGCTCGCAGAGTTGCCAAGCGGCCAGGCCAGACAAAGAACAGCTGTTCGAGGGCTGCACGCCCACCCACTCAATCACTCTGCATCCCTGGGGCCCCGCTCTGCTGGCTAAAATAATACAAGGCAAAGAAATTGTGTTTGTGTTAATTGAATGCCCTGCCCACAGACACTCGAGTCAGCAACAACACCATGGGCATCCTAGAGAAGATTGCTGAGATCGAGCGTGAGATCGCACGCACCCAAAAGAACAAAGGTAAGCCGGCAACACCCCACAGTCGACTCTGCGGCGTCTCGCCGCGTTGGAATTTAGGTTAGGATTTCTCCTGATTGGATTTCCTTTGTTTTTGTGTATTTTTTGCAGCCACCGAGTACCATTTGGGCCTGCTGAAGGCGAAGCTAGCCAAGTATCGCTCCCAGCTGCTAGAGCCCACGAAGAAGGGCGAAAAGGGCGAGGGATTCGATGTGCTCAAAAGCGGAGATGCCAGGGTAGCGCTCATTGGCTTTCCCTCGGTGGGCAAATCCACAATGCTGTCCACCCTGACCAAGACAGAGTCGGAGGCGGGTATGTAACACCTCCTACATGTGCCTCCAACCCAATATTCATTTGGTTCCTCTCTTCGCAGCCAACTATGAGTTTACCACGCTGACGTGCATTCCAGGCGTGATCGAGTACCAGGGCGCCAATATCCAACTGCTCGATCTGCCCGGTATCATTGAGGGTGCCGCCCAGGGCAAAGGTCGTGGACGACAGGTCATTGCCGTGGCCCGCACTGCCGATCTGGTGTTGATGATGCTCGATGCCACCAAGCCGAATGTCCACAGGGAGCTGCTCGAGCGGGAGCTGGAGTCCGTGGGCATTCGGCTGAACAAGCGGAAGCCCAACATTTACTTTAAACAGAAAAAGGGCGGCGGCCTGAGCTTCAATTCGACCTGCACCCTGACGCGCTGCAGCGAGAAAATGGTCCAGATGATCCTACACTCCTTTAAGATCTTCAACGCCGAGGTGCTGTTCCGGGAGGACTGCACCGAGGATGAGTTCATCGACGTGGTCACCGCCAATCGTGTCTATCTGCCTTGCCTTTACGTGTACAACAAAATCGATCAGATCTCCATCGAGGAGGTGGATCGCCTGGCCCGCCAGCCCAACTCCATTGTCGTGAGCTGCAACATGAAGCTGAATCTGGACTACATGCTGGAGGCCCTCTGGGAGGCGCTGCAGCTGATCAGGGTATACACCAAGAAGCCCGGCGCACCGCCAGACTTTGATGATGGTCTGATTTTGAGAAAGGTCTGTCAAAGAACTCTCACAACTCGAACTCGAAAAACCCTTGCTGACCCTCGTTTTTCCTCTCTTTAGGGTGTCAGTGTGGAGCATGTATGCCATGCCATTCATCGCACGCTGGCCGCGCAGTTCAAGTATGCCCTGGTTTGGGGCACATCCACCAAGTACTCGCCCCAGCGAGTGGGCATTGCCCATGTGATGGGCGACGAGGATGTTATACAGGTGGTCAAGAAGTAGGAGGATTCGGGATTCGATTCGTGTTTGGTGTAACCAGATTGTTGATCTTTGTCTCTGGCCCGGTTGGAAGTGAAATATATTCTATTCTACATTTAAAGCCTCGCGAGGATTACTTCATATAAAACGATTTATTTCAACATACGGATTGGAGGACAATCAATCACTTGGCTGCCGCATTGCTGGAGGAGGCAGCCGCCGCCGAGGCATACGATTTGTTCAGGCTACTAATGGCCGAGATGTTGGAGAAGGGCGTCGGGCCACTGCTGATCCGCTGAGGCTCGACTGCCGGCGGCGGTGGATTATCGATCTTCTCAAAGACATTGGTGGCGTCGCGCAGCTTGTATCGTCGCAGATTCAGATACAGCTCCTTCTGCTCCTCCACGCGCTGGTGAAGGTCGTGCAAGCGGCCTGCCAGCGAGATGAAAGCTTCGTTGAGCTGCCGAAGGCCGCGCTTCAGGTCCTCGGGCGCGATGCTCTGTGGATTGGCCAGGGCGTGCATGTGCCGTTCGGTGAGCGTGATCTGCTGCCGGAAGGCAATCAAATCCTGCTCGTACTTGACCACCAGACACTGGAAGTACTGGAACGGAGCATTGTTCTCGTACTGAAGTCCGATGGGCGTGTCCTGAGTCCTCTGGGCCATCTCCAGCGACTGTATGGCCTTAGCCGTCTCCAAACGCAGCAGCTTGATCTGCTGGTTGTTGGCGTCCACGGAGTTGGCCATGTTCTGCAGCGCCCAAGCGAAGCCCGTGATCTCGTGCGTCACATTCGAGAACTTTGAGGTGGACGTCCGTCCGATGTCCGAGGAGGTGGTCTTCTGCTGCTTGATGTACACCTTCAGCGCCTCCACTGTCTTGACTATCTCGTCCGGCACTTGGGTTTCCTTGATCTGCAAACGGTTCTGTGTAAAACGGGTTCGAATCTATGGATTGCCAGAACTCACCTTGATCCCGTCCTTCTTGTTGTCTCCCAGCTTTGGCTGCGTGGCGCTGACATCGATGCCGCCCAAACCCACAAATGTGGCGGGAGCTGTGGTCTGCTGGCCAGGCGGCTTGCCAAAGATTCCACTCCCCACAGCCGACGTGGAGCCACCCAGCCGCAGGCCCGTATTGAAGGGCTGCGCCGTGGCCGTCGTGGTGTTCGTGCTGAAGTTCAGACTGGCCGCCGTCGTGGCCTGGGGCTTGGCGAACGCAAAGGAACCAATGCCAGCAGTCAGAGCCGGTTGCAAACCCACTGAAGTGGCCGGTGCGGTGGTGGCCGTGCTGCCAAAGCCAAAAGCAGGCGGTGCTGTGGTCGGGGCACTGGTGGCCGGCGGCGCAAAGGAGAATGTGGGCGCTACACTAACGACAGCAGGAGCTGCTTGGCCGAATGTAGATGCTGTTGTAGCTGCTCCGAATGCTGTTGGTGCTCCGAATCCGGGTTGGGCCGTGGGTGCTCCGAATCCTGGCTGGGCCGTAGGTGCTCCGAATCCGGGCTGGGCCGTGGGAGCTCCAAACCCGGACTGTGCCGTAGGTGCTCCGAATCCGGGCTGGGCCGTAGGTGCTCCAAATCCTGGCTGCGCCGTGGGTGCACCAAACCCAGACTGTGCCGTGGGTGCTCCGAATCCTGGCTGGGCTGTTGTTGCACCAAACCCAGGCTGAGCCGTAGGTGCTCCGAATCCAGGCTGTGCTGCTGTTGCCGCTGCAAATCCCAACGACGTGGGCGCTTGACCGAATGCTGATGTCGCAGGCGCCTGTCCAAAGGCTGACGTTGTGGGCGCCTGTCCGAAGGCTGATGTTGCTGGCGCTTGTCCGAAAGGCGAAGATCCTGCAGCTCCAAAGGCTGGCGCAGCGGTTGCACCAAAAGCGGGAGGAGGTGCCGTTGTAGTCGCCGGTCGCGCGCCAAAACCGAATGCACCCGCTGTGGGCGCTGCGGCTCCAATAGCAGAATTGCTTGTGGGCGTAAATGAAAAGGACATCTCAGAGCAGGAGATTTAACTAATTTCACAGCGAATTTTATCTTTTTATTGATTATAAACAAAAAATGTTCTGCTGTAGAAAATGCAACACCGAATCCCTGGTATAATCATCCCTCCCTGGTGCACGCGCAGAGTTGCTATTACATGTGTGTGTCTTCGTCATACGACAATTATTTTGTATATTTTATCGCAAAGTTCGAGGTTCACTGATTTTTCGCCACCATGTCTAGCTCACACACTATGCAAATTTTGTACTTATCATAGTATTTCCTAGTATTTTGCACCAATGTACACCAAAGGAGGTTTCGCAGACTGGGGTTAATATGAAAAAAACGCGCAAACATTTTTTAAACGTACACATTTCACCTTTAGGTGTCGCTTTTGTAGCAAATGTGTAGTGGGCGTGTAGTTACCACGTAAAGAAAATTATTTAGCAGAAATTGTTGTTGAACATTTTTGCTTAAACCTTATTTTATAAGTAACGCAATAGGGATGACACCTTTTCTTTAACCAGTTTTGTAGGAAATTTAGTTAGTAATCGGATAAAATTATGTAGGCAGGACTGGGGGTTCTATTTAACTAGTAATATTCGACGGAATATCAAAAACGAAAAAATATGTATAATATACCTTGAATTCGTCAGTATATTTACGGTATATTTCAGAGGGTCAGACCGTATGGGAATATCCATGGTCACACTGCTGACTTCGTCAGTCATATGACAATTTTCGTGCAAAAAATTTCCAAAAGTCACTTGCTTTTTTTTCTTGGTCAGTACACCACGTAAATTTTTGTGAAGCTAACAAGATGGCCAGCCAAACGCAGGGAATCCAGCAACTGCTTGCTGCTGAGAAGAAGGCCGCCGAGAAGGTGGCAGAGGCAAGGAAGCGTAAGTAAAATTGGAATTATTTTTTCCCAATTGGAGAAACAGATACAGAAAGCAAAGGCAACTGTGTTTTCTCACCACCATTGACCCAGCCCTCGGCCCCGCGCCGCCTTATCGACGTTATGCGCGGTGGGTCACATGACTCGCTGAAAAACAGTAAATACTGTGCAAGCTGACGAATAACTGTTTTTTCTTTTTGGATTTTTTCACCCACCCACACAGGCAAGGCAAGGAGGTTGAAGCAGGCCAAGGACGAGGCCACCGAGGAGATTGAGAAGTTCCGTCAGGAGCGGGAGCGCGCCTTCAAAGAGTTCGAGGCCAAGGTTAGTTGTACCATCTTCGATCCGATTTCGGAACACAAGCTAACCCCTACGATCCCACTACCTATAGCACATGGGCAGCCGGGAAGGCGTTGCTGCCAAAATCGATGCGGACACCCGCGTGAAGTTGGCCGACATGGAGCGCGCCATCGTGACGCGCAAGGAGCCCGTCATCCAGGAGATCCTACAGTTCGTCTACAACATTTCGCCTGAGGTCCACAAGAACTACACTGCCAAGTAGAGGGAGTGGGTCAGAAAGCCTCCAATATCCGTATTCATCTCCGACGGCGACGTTTCTGATGCAAATTCAATGTCCAAGTTCAACTCCTAATACATAATTTAGCCCCATAATAATAGTGCATACAATATGAAACACTACTGTATTATTATTCCATATATTAAAGTCAAAAATTCGTTGTTGTTCCCTTTAAAATTGAGATGAGAAATACGTATTATTCTGTTTAATGTTCTGTTCAATACAAGTTGTTATTTTTATTTGAAAAGTCATGTGTTTTTTTGTTGCATATTTTGACTATTAATTTCCGAATTATTCTTTATATAAACATACATACACAGTCAGCTGCTTTTTCTCTGATAAGAAAAAATTAGTCGCTTTTCAGCGATGTTTTCTTTCATTCAACCATCGCTAATGGTCGTATGACACTACACTTAACTACCTGTCTAGTCTAAAAAGCAGAGACAGTCTTACGAGTCTTCGACAACCGACGCGTCCACATAAGCCAGCCTACAAGCCGTCGTCATCCTTCTACCTGGCCATCGAGAACAAGGACTTTGGCAAACAAAGGAGAGATTACATGGGCTACTAGATTCTAGATATATCTCATTATTGTTAGATTTCAGGATTTAGGTAGTAGATACAAATGTTTTCCACTTGTTTACTTATTTATACTAAGCTAAGTTTTGATGATTACAAATATTAAAAAAATCATCCTTGCTGTTTTCTGTATCGGGTAAATTATTCCGATTACAAAAAGGCGTGGCACGCCCAGATCGGTTCACAAATAGCGGAGAAAATTATATATTTTTGATTGGGGAAAATGTTCTTTGATCCTTGAAAAGGACTCCGTCAGATCATGGACATTTTTCCGATCACAGGAAGCCATCGCACGCCCAGATCGGCTCACAAATAGCCGAGAAAACTGAATATGTATGCTTGGAGCTGTTGGAGTCCTTGGCGAAGGTTCAAGGACATTTTTCTGATCACGGCCATTACAAGCCATTTTTTTTTCTCCGTTATTTGAGGCCCGACTTAATGGAGTCCTTATCGAGGACCAAGGATCAAGGATATTTACCGCAGACATATATATTCTATTTCTCCATAATTTACGGCCCGATCGGGTCGTGCCAAGCCCCACCGTGATCAGAAAAATGTCCTTGATCCTTGAATGCGCTTACGCGTCTTGAAGCTGAAGCCCAGCGTTTGATTCGGCGGCGTTTGAATGGGGGTTTGCTGGCATTATTTCCCGGCTCTCAGTCGATCATTGGTCCCTGCTGCAGTGGATGGGACGCCAAGTTGTCGACGTAGCCACACAGCAGCGGTATCATGGCAATGGCTTGCAGCAGGACAGCCAGTTGCTGCCACAGTCCAGCCACAGGAGCACATCCCTTGGAAATCCCGATAGGACGAGGAGCTACGGTGGAATATCCTGGGATCTGATGTCTGTTTGCGACATGTTCAGTGTGTGAAGAATTGAAATTTAGTTTTTTTTTAATTTTAGGTTAAACATATCGTCTACATTAATTTCTTCAAATTAAAAGTGAAGGTTGGGATGGACCTACAAGAGTAATTATTGTTATAAGTATTACTAGTAGGTTAGCTCAAGTTTGTATCTTAAATTATTGGGGATTAGGCGGTATATTTCGGAGGGTCATATTATGTATTGAATCGGTAACAACAATAAGTCCCATTTCATACCCTAGGGAAAAGGATATTACAGAATTAGGGAAATGTTTGTCATACCAGGCTTTAATTAATGAAGAAACTGATCAGTCTCTGTTTAAAATGTATTTGAACTATATTTTGAAGTTAGTGGTCTTCTTACAGAGACCAAGAATGAGTATCGGGATCAGGATATATGTTTATACAATAACCTAATCAAATATTTCCATGAATACGTCTAAAAAAAAATCAATTTGAAATAGGGTATAGAAAATCCCATACTCCGGCTGACTTCTTCAAATGACAGCAACATTGACGTGACAACATTGCGACTATTTTTTTTGTTGAACTTTTTCGTTTGAACCTTGATTTAGTCCGAATAATAAATGACATTACTTAAAAGTAGTTTATCTTATAGAGAATTTATTCTTCAATAGGATAAAATTATGTGGGTAGGGCGGAGATCTCTATCTAGCTAGTAATATTCGACGGAATATGAAAAACGAGGAATATGTATGAATTCGTCAGTATATCTACGGTATATTTTCAAAATGAGACGGTAAGATTTGGTATATTTCCGACGGTCAGACGGTATATATGATTGATTTCAGCTGTTCTAAGTCTCCCCGCGCGCGCTTCATTCTTAAATTGTTTTTAATTATTTAACACTATACTTCCTCCAGCGGAACGTGCAACATAATTGAATTGTGATATTAGATTTAGTGCAAAGTGTAGAGCAATGCAGCGGCACAAATGAAAGTTGACCCTCGCCATCAATATATTTTGGCAACACACACACACACACACACATATGCATGCCGCGCGCGCACATGAACTCACACACAGATGCCTTGTGAAAGTAGGGAAGAAGTGGTGAGGGGAAGCAGCAAGACTCCGCCGATTGGCCAAATTTAAAAGTTGCCACTAAGCTAAATGCTAAATTTAGACGGCGCCGAAGAAGCGTCTCCCCCTCCGCCAGAGAGCTCGCAGCTTCTGCTGGACGAGGAAAAGGGGACTCCAGCGCCGCCTGCTAGCCATTTGGAACCGCCATTCACCACCCCGCTGGCCCCCTTCGACATGGAACTGATGCAGCGCATCGGCCTCAGCGATAAGCTGAATGGCAGCGGAAGCCTTTGGGAGGGCAGGAACAGGGGCCGGGGAGCAGCAGATCCAACGACGGATTTTATGGACCAAGAGCGAGATGCGGCCAGCGGAGAGAACCGAAAATCATCAAGTGAATCACTCTCTGATAAGAGAGCCAGGTTCGCTGCAAGGTAAGTCCAATCCAATGAAGCTGACTATATAGAGGAAATATCCATTAAAGATAATTGCAGCTGGTTTTTGTCGACTGTTTGTTGTCTGTCTATTGTTGTTTTCTGTAATTGAGTTTGGGTTTTTTTATTGTCATGGATATAGGGTGTTTTAGCAGGGAGTTTTGGTGAAACCTCTTGGATGTTCTCTAGCCACTTTCAAGAGCCCCCTGTATGGTTTTATCTGTGTTTTATGTTGATCATTCGCACTTGTTGCTATATGCATAAGACAGATAAGCAGAAAGTGCAAATCACTGTATTCTTAGACAAATACATATACTTTTGATTCCTCTTTCGGATGTGGAATGTCAGTGTTTTTCTTCCTAATTCAGTGACTCAGAACAGAGAGCACCTTGTATTAGCATTGCATTCCATCCCCCTGTTCCGCCGACATTCTCTGAATATTAATCTACAATTTACTACACAGTAATTACCCAATGAACTAATTTCCTATCATAAACAGAACATCTATTTCCCTTTGTGCTGGAAATGGGAAATATAGGAAGAGGGGGAACAGATAACATACGTACCTGCATTTGATCTATGAACATGTGCTTAGACTTCGCTCTCTCTCTCTCCCTTTCCGACGCCAACTGATTGAAGTACTGTCTAAACGAGACAACAGTTACTTGGCAACAGGTTTATTTCGCTGATGCACTCAATGTACACTATTGCACTACACTTTCTTTATGAAAATGTAAAGCACATTTGTATATTATGGAAGGCATCTTAGGCGCTATCTAATTTAGTTCAGAAAATCAACTACTTTTCGTATCATCACACAACACGAATGATGTTGGCCTGCTGCTCTTTTGTTCAAAAGTACTCAAGTCAACGCACGGGAGTGTGTGGTGGGGGGGATTATCATATGCCGGCTTGTCTGTGTCTTGCTCTTCGCCCAGCTGACAGCTCTCTCGCCCTCTCTTGTTTCTGCTTTGTTATTGCTGCTGCGCGTTTGACAACTCTGCCGCTCTTTGGGGCTCTCCCGTTGTCAGTGCCAACGTTTGTTGGAATATTATTTCAATTTTCTGAACACTCAATTCTCAAACATCGGGCGAACCAGAAGCGAAAAACTCGCAGGAAATATTTTTCCGCGCTAAATGTGATATTACACCCGCTGGTGGGTCAATTAATACCTTTATACACATATACGCCCGATCAGCTTTCGCAGAAACGGGTTTACCGTAGTGTTTCCCCTTTTTGTGTTGGATTAATCATCTGTTTCGCGGGAGAAAAGTAAAAGACAACGGTTTCCTTGTGTGTTTGTGTACTGTGTGTGTTTCAAGTATTGCGGATCTTGTCGGTTGGATGATTAAACGGATCATGCATATATAGCATATAGCATAATATTTGCATACATTATATAAGAAAATTTCGGGGAAACAATTTTCCGTCACCTTTCGCTGCTCTGCTCTTCCTTGGGTGACAAATATTCGAAAAAGCAGCGGCACAAATGTTTAATAAATTAGTGTCTCTCACTCTGTCTTGCTCTCTCTTGGCCTTGATTAAAGCCAAATGCCAAAATTTTCAATGTGTGGGCCTACGAAACAAACAATAACAATAACAAATTGTGTGTAAATTTTCATACTTGAGTTTTTTTATTGAAAGAAGTTGAAGATAATTATGAATCGCCGCGAGCCAAGGCTGAAAAGTTTGTAAAATATGAACATGAATGTTTGATGAGCCGAGCCACACACGAAATAAGAGTACAAAAGAGAATGGAGGAAACAAGAGGAAACATACAGCTTAACCGAGCGGTTTATGGAAGTTGGAAGGGGAATGACGACAAAGTTCCCTTACTAATAGAATTCCAAAAGGAATTATAGCAAATTATACCATATCTGCAGGGTATCCAAAGCTTCGATCACTGAGACTTGGCCTTCCTTTCATGATTTCGCTGTTTATGTTTTTTCCGGTGGCTGTTCTATTTCTAATCACTGGCAATAAACATTTTTCCTACTTATAAAATGCAGTAGAGTGGTTTTCCCCAGCTTCATTCCATTCTGCGTTAAATAATCTGTACCTCTTCACATTATATGCAAACGAAGTATTATCTGAGGGCTTTTCCCAATGAAGCTTTGAATCAACAAGTGTAATTACTGGACTTTATCTCCTTGTTGGACAGCTAGAAATAAAAGAATGATGGAAGATAATGTAATTGACAGCCTTCTTCATGGCTGGGCTTATCATTTCTCCCAGTTTATTTATAGCTGATAAGAACTTATGCCCTGTATCACACAGCTCCCATTGACTCCCATTCAGCATCTTTCTAAAATATTTCCCTCTTTTTTGAGTCGATTGCTCAATTACTCATTCGATTGCACTTTCGAAGTTAAGGTAAATTTTGTATTGTTTTTTTTATGATCAGATATAATCGTGAATCATAGGAGATTTCTCATTTTTTCCACAAAAGACCGACTCACACGAGGAGCTGAGCTGCTTTTCTAGCGCTCAAATATCAAGTGTTTGCATATATTATTTGCAAATGTTTTTGCCACATTATCAACTGAATGTGAGGCACTGCACTTGGCTCTTTAAATAATATACTAGAAACAGACTAAACAGATGGAAACAGACTGCTGCTGCTGTATAAGCAAATGAAAGCCAAGGAAAAATAGAGAAATTATTTACTGATGTCATGTGGGTGAATTGTGTGTGCCATAAAATGGCTCAACGCGTTCAGATTATAGTTGCTTAGGGGGTTCCAACCACCCGGGGAGTGACCTAAATAAGGTGAGGGTGGGACATTAACACGCCAAGCGGGGGGTGGGTCCTATAGGGACATTAATGGACATCAAACTGAAACACTGAAAGCATTCCATTCCTGAACGTCCATTCTTTGTTACAGCAACGCCTCCACGCTCCAACTGCCAGACGGTGCTGCCGGGCCCCTGGCCAATGGCAAAAAGAAGTCCTCCGAGCCAAGCAACCAAAATCATCTCTCAAGCCCCTTGCTGCCAATGACTGAACCCACTTTGGGAAATAATGGCTACGATGAACGCGAATGCAGTTGCCCCAGGGAGTTCTACCAGCGGGAGGAGATCAACACATCGCTGTTCTTCGAGGACTGCACGCGCTCCATTGACTTCGTGCTGGCCTACAGGATCAATGCCCATGAGCCCACGGAGGCGGAGAATACGGAGAAGCGAAGGGTGTTCGAGGCGAATCTCGTGAGCCAGGGTCTCGAGGTGGAAACAAGCCAAAAGGATCAAATATGTTTCGTGAAGGTAAGTAAGCCTTGAATTTCCCCAAAAGAAACCTCATTAATGGGTGTTTGTTCTTTGCAGATCCATGCCCCTTTGGAGGTGCTGCGTCGGTATGCGGAGATACTTAAGCTACGGATGCCCATGAAGGAGGTGCGTTTCGTCTCTCGATCTTCAGATCTAATTCTTTAAAGACTTTTGGGCCCTGAAACAAAATTTGATTGAAATTCAGTTGAAAATTCCTATTGTTTTTGTATGATTTCTTATATGTTTCTGTGTTTTTAGTCCTTGTGTAATTTGCGTATATATGAAAGAACCAACCGTCTACAGAATGCGGCTCAATACTTGTCCAAGAAGGTTGGCCCAGACGTTGTTGAATCAGTTAAAAATTTTACACAATTAATACTTCTAAAACCTAGGCTTAAATGTTGTTCTGCTGTGAGTTGATGTATGAAAGAAACCTAATCCCGTGCCTAACATCTGTTGTAGAAATATCAATTGAATATATATGTGTATACCCTTTAGTAAGCCTTTGCTTTGACTATCTTAATTTAAACCTTCAATTTCCTTCAGATTAATGTGTATTTTGGTGCTCTTACAGATCCCTGGAATGTCTGTTGTCAATCGTTCGACAAAAAGCATATTTTCTAGTCTGAAAACCGTTTGCCAATTCTTCCTACGGAATATCCATGTGGATGAGCATATATTCCCCAAGAGAGCGCATCGTTTTACTGCCATTTACAGTCGCGACAAGGAGTATCTGTAAGCTAGAAGAAGTACCTTAACCATTTTTCGTTTAATTTATCTTCTTTTTTGGATAGCTTTGATATACGACAGGATTGCTTCTTTACCACCGCCGTGAGGTCGCGCATTGTGGAGTTTATATTGGATCGTCAGCGTTTTCCTACCAAAAATCAACATGACATGGCCTTTGGCATTGAGCGATTGATTGCAGAGGGCGGCTACTGTGCGGCATATCCATTGCATGATGTGAGTATTACAACGATATTTATAGCAGATCCACTAAATTCCTTTTTCAGGGCGAAATAACCGAATCGGGCACCATGAGAGCTCTTCTGTACAAACATTGGGCTTCTGTGAAGAAATGGTACCGCTATCAGCCTCTGGACGACATCAAGGAGTACTTTGGCGTCAAAATTGGTTAGGAAACAGCACCTATGTTCAAAGATAGCCTTTCTTAGTATTTCCCCTCTCTTTAGGTCTGTACTTTGCCTGGTTGGGCTATTACACCTATATGTTGCTGCTGGCCTCCATTGTGGGTGTGATATGCTTTCTATACTCCTGGTTGTCTCTCAAGAACTATGTGCCTGTGTAAGCTTTACCTTTTCATCCATCAATTGTGGCCCCAACTAATTGAAAATTCCTTTTATTTGCAGCAAAGATATCTGTCTGCGTCCCAATACAAATATAACCATGTGTCCCCTCTGTGATTGGTGCAACTTTTGGGACCTCAAGGAGACCTGCAATTATGCCAAGGTCACGTATCTCATCGACAATCCCAGCACAGTTTTCTTTGCCGTCTTTATGTCCTTTTGGGCCACTCTCTTCCTGGAGCTATGGAAGCGCTACTCCGCGGAGATAACCCATCGCTGGGATCTGACGGGCTTTGATGTCCACGAGGAGCACCCTAGGCCGCAGTATTTGGCCAAGTTGGAGCACATACCACCCACCAGAGTGGACTATGTGACGAACGTCAAGGAGCCGACGGTTCCCTTTTGGCGGATGAAGCTGCCGGCGACTGTTTTTAGCTTTTCGGTGGTGCTGCTGCTCATTGCCCTGGCTTTTGTGGCCCTTTTGGCGGTGGTGGTGTACCGCATGTCGATGCTGGCGGCTCTAAAAGTGGGCGCCAGTCCCCTGACCACCTCGAGTGCCATTGTTTTGGCCACAGCCTCGGCGGCCTTTGTGAATCTGTGTTTGCTCTATATCCTGAATTATGTGAGTGTTCGCCGCTTGAAACTCTTTTGGAATGTTATAAAGGGAATTCTTTACTTTTCAGATGTACAGCCACTTGGCGGAGTACCTCACAGAGCTGGAAATGTGGCGCACTCAAACGCAGTTCGATGATTCGCTGACTCTCAAGATCTATCTGCTGCAGTTTGTCAACTATTATGCCTCTATATTTTATATAGCCTTCTTTAAGGGAAAATTTGTGGGACATCCAGGGGAGTATAACAAACTGTTTGACTATCGACAAGAGGAGGTAGGTCCCTACCACTGAGTGTACCCGTCCAACAGCTAATCTTTCCCTGAATTCTTTTCCAGTGCTCTTCTGGTGGCTGCCTCACGGAGCTCTGCATCCAGCTGGCCATTATAATGGTGGGCAAGCAGGCCTTCAACACGATACTCGAGGTATATCTGCCCATGTTCTGGCGCAAAGTGCTGGCCATTCAGGTGGGCCTCTCCCGTTTGTTCAACAACACCCCGAATCCCGACAAAACCAAAGACGAGCGTTGGATGCGCGACTTTAAGCTGCTGGATTGGGGGGCACGCGGTCTGTTTCCCGAATATTTGGAGATGGTTTTGCAATACGGATTTGTGACCATCTTTGTGGCTGCCTTTCCACTGGCCCCGTTCTTTGCCTTGCTCAATAATATACTGGAAATGCGTTTGGATGCCAAGAAACTGCTCACACACCACAAGCGGCCCGTGTCGCAGCGTGTGAGGGATATTGGCGTGTGGTACAGGATACTGGATTGCATTGGAAAGCTAAGTGTGATCACAAATGTGAGTAGATGCAGGAGAGTACCCCTAAGAAAGATCTCTAAATAATGTATTTTGTAGGGCTTCATCATTGCCTTTACATCGGATATGATTCCTCGACTGGTCTACCGCAACTATGTCTCCAAAGATGGCACCCTGAATGGATACCTCGACTTTACTCTCTCCGAATTCAAGGTCTCCGATTCACCCACTTTGAACAGCCTCGCAGGCGATCTCTCCAACATAACATCGTGCAAGTATGGCATGCACTCGAGGGTTTGCTTTATGGAATGGGATACTAAAAGTGTTTTCTTTCTTTCAGATACACAGACTTTCGGTTGCCGCCCTCATCGCCGGATAAATACAATTTAAGCAGCATGTTTTACATCATTTTGGCCTGTCGTTTGGGCTTTGTTGTGGTCTTTGAAGTGAGTTGCAAAAGATAAACTAAGGCAGAGAAGCAACCCACCTTTAATCTCATTTTATTTACCTATAAATGCTTTAAGACAGCTTTAAAAATCAAATCCCTCAAAGATACTTAGTTTTAGGCGTTGAATGTATGAGGATTCTGTTGAATGGCTTCGATATTCTCATTCGGTGTGGACTTTAGCTTCCGATAGAGCGCATAGATGCCATAAGAAAGCAATGCATTGAGCACTTCATAGATAAAAATCAATTAAAATTCAAACTAAGGATATAAATCATGTGAAAGCCTACCTAAAAATACGCCAAAGATGAGACTACGCGCTATCCGACGATCCACTGCGGCATCGACTTCATCAATTCGGAGTTCCAGGCTCACAAACATGCCAGTTTCCACGGTCATCGATAGATAGGTGTTGATCAGCCAAGGTGCAATGCAAATCAGTCGTTTCTGCAGAAAAAATCAATCATTTAGACATATTATTCTATATTTTTAGTGGTATGCCATTACCTGCTTAATGCCATCGACTAGAAGGCAGGCCACTGCCAGATTTATCAATGCCTTGACCCAAATAATGAGTGTGGCAGTCATGTAAAAGACCTGCGAGAATTCACGCACCCAGAGATAATCCACTGGAAAAGGGTTTCCTTTTTAGCATAGAATTAAAATTAGTTTTTCTTTATGTTTTACCCAACGTGGAAACGAATGTGCCAAAGGCACTTAGGGCCTCCACATCGTTGGTCTGTTCCCACCTATCGATATCCAAGTAATCAAAGTACAGATAATAGGTAGAGGGACCGAGTATGCTCAATGCTATAAGGATGTCTAGGATGGCTATGCTAAGACCCACTGAGGAAAGGCTCAGGAATTCAAAGTATTTCATTTTAAAGTGTTTGAACTTTGGAAATTGGTAGATGAAAGCCTATTCTTATTAATTTTTGTTAGTTTTTTAATCCTATATTCCTATGGTTATCCTTTTTGCTATCACACACACGTCCGCTCGTCTCGAAGTATTCAAAGCCACTGTCTGAAATGTTCCAACTTTCGTGCAGAACTGCCAATGTGCCCTGCCGGCTAATTATCCATTTAGTTGGCATTTCATTTTATTCTATTTTCAGTTTCTTGACATTTTGTCTGCTGCCTCTCTCTCTCGCTGGTTATGCTGCTGCCAAAGTCCGATCTATGCTATGTTGGGGGTGCATGTGCTGGTTTCATTCGATATGGGGTTTCTTTTGGGGAGCGAGTGCGTTCCCAATTCCCCCGAAAATATTAGGGTTGAGGCTAACACCTGTCTTAGCCCGTCTTAGCCAATTGCATTTACTGTCGCTTGAGTGGAGAAGAATAGGGCTTCTGCTTCTGGGGGCTGTGACCCCAAAACGATGGACAAATCATGGACAAGTGATGACATGATGATGAAATATGGTTCTTCGTTTCTTTCAGAACTTTGTGGCTCTTGTGATGATTCTGGTGCGCTGGTGCATACCCGACATGAGCGTGGAGCTAAGGGATCAAATCCGTCGCGAGGTCTATGTCACCAATGAGATTATCATCGAGCAAGAGGCACATCGTGCGCGGTTTGGTAAGGAAACAATCCCTCCTTATAAATTTTTCTTATGCTAAAAGTGTACATCTTTCTTTTAGAGCGCGCCAAACGCAGCAGTTCGGTTCTACAGCCCTCTCCCGACCAGGAAGTGGACGCCTCTTCGATCCAAGAGCCCAATGCCAAGTTCATTAGCATTGAGAAGCTGCTCAGCGAGAATCTCACACAAGTAGAACTCGATGCCATCATCCATCTCTCGGATCCTCTCACAGGCATTGCAGGCGCAAACGCCTAAAGGAATGCTCCTCAATATTGTGGCACAAACGCAAATGCTCCTTAAACTGAATCTCTAGCCTTAAGTTTCATTCAAAAGTGATTAATTGTGTTATGGATGTTCCTTACAGTCACTTAATTAGCCTCTAATTTTCGACTCTATTGTTGATTTCGGTTGTAAGCTTTACTCATTTGCACAATTGTTATATAGGTTCATCTTTTTTTACTACAAAATGCTTTAAAACAGACTCAAAAGTAGTATAAGGAGTGCCCTCCGCCCCCCCAGTGAGTGCCAAATAATTGGCAATTATTCTCCTCCTTAGTGAAGGAATCTCACCAAATGTTATAGAACTCAGGCTCTCTCTCTCTATTTTATATGATAGAAAATGTATATTTATGGCATTCATCGCATTGATGTTGATATATTGATGTTGGTATATTGAAATCTCTATTTAATGTTGGATAATCATAATAAAAAATATATTTTAAATGAAATGATTAGTGGAAACCAATTTGGAGGTAGATTCCTATAGATTCCTTGGTATATATTATATATTTAGGAAGATAAGTCGCTCAATCGCTTGTAAAACATTGTTTCAGTTTCTAAATGCATTGAGGGCACATTTTCGGATAAATTGAATATGTATTCGATGTATTTATCAAGTTTTAAAAATATTACTAAAGAGGTTTATAGATTACTAGCTTGATCTTGTTTCAAACCACCATAAAACTGTAGAATATCCCAAAAATCCAGGAGCATTCATATGAATATCTGTTCTCTAAACGCTTTTAATGTTAGCCTGTATCGATATCCCCTACTATTCTCATAGTAGCGCTCTGTGACGCCATCGACCAGCCCTGGTTCTCCCGCCATCCCTCTTATTTCTGTTTTTTTTTTTCTTTTGGCAAAAGAGCGTCATGGGGCAATGGCAAGTGGCGCAACAAGCATGCACTTGTGTGCCCCCAAAGCATGAAAAAGTTCCCCCAAAAGTGTGCGCTCTCTCTCTCGTCGGCTGCGCATGAGTCGCATTAATGACGTCACTAGAGAAAAGCGTGTGCACGTTGTCGGGGCGGCACGACGCCTTTCAGCTGTTTTTGCCCGCCAGCCAGCAAGCACATGGCGTTGTCGATGGTGATGGCGGGCCATACAAACAATAAATTTTCATTCGTTTGCCTCGTTTTCCACAGTGCAGAGTGCCGCCGCCGCCGCAGAGAAAAGCCCCGCCGCACGGACAAGCGCTCGCTCGCCCGAGAGTGATACGCGGCATTTGTCTGCTGTCCCATTTATTCGATTCCGGTTTGGTAGAGATTGGCTTTCAGTTTACTTTACGGATTTTCCGAGTCAACAACGCAAGCAGGACCCAACGCCATGCGGGGTTCGATGGCCGTTTGCCGTTTGCTGTTCTCGTTCCCGTTCCCGTTGCCGTTGCCGTTGCCGCTGCAGTTTTCCTCGTTTTTCCGGTTGTTCTGCTGTGGCCAGTGTGCAGTGCCTTCCTGGTGCCTTTCCCTAGGGACTGACTAGTGACCCGGCAGCTTTCCAGCGGGTGTCCATGGGTCAACGCTGAATCTTTTGGGTGAGCTATGACTGCAAAAGCTTCTGCTACTAATTTACTTTTATTATAATCCTAATTAAATGACACGGAAAACGTTTTAGAGCGCTTCAAGTCATGAGGTTCTTTTTTGTGGTTTCCTCACAGCTATCGATTTTTGTAGCCGGCAAAGCTAAGTATTTTCAAGCAAAGAAAACGTGTCGTTTGATCCCTCTACCTCTGCCTCTCCCTATCCATCTGAGGATGTGGGATTTGCGACAGTTGCAGTGTCCTTTGTGTCCTCGGAATGAAAGGAGGAGTGCATAGTTCTTTGTTGTATTGTGACAGCCATGGAAATCCAACTAAGGGCCAACGATACCCATCAAAAGCGTTGACTGCCATCAGCAGCAAAGGGTTCCTTGACCTTCCGCAAGGCTGAAAAACGATACAAAAGAAGAAGAATAAAGGAACAACTTTTGGGGGCGTCCTATCCATTATGTTAATGATGTTGACTATTTTATTGATTTAATAGAAGAAAAACCTCCACTGGAACCATCTGCCACTCTGTGTTCCGAGAAAATTTAATATTATTTCAATAATTACACAAGAGAAGTGCCAGTACCGTGCCCCGCGTGGAAACGCTTAAGCGAAGTCGTTTCAATTATTTACTTGGGATTTGGTTGCCCGCCAGCTGTCGTGGGGGTCGTGGTCTTTAATTACCCTTCGGGTCTATCAACCTCTGACCCTCTTCCTGCTCGGATTACACACTCTGGACTCTGTACACACATGGACTACCTCCTTAAAAGAGTGCTAAATAATGCAAAAACATGTCCTAGTCGTGGGAGGTTGGTTGGCATGCCTGGTATTCGTGTTGTTCTGTTTATTCAGCGCCTGGATCTACTGTTCTGACATTGAATAATGATGTGCTGCTGCTGCCTGCTGCTGCTTCTGCTGATGTTAATGCTTTTGGCAGCATGAATATGAAATGAAATACATTTTGACAACCTTATTCAAGCAAATCCAGTGGGTATAACCTCTTTCTTTTAGTGAACTCTGTTGGAAAAATCACCCATACGACAGGTGTAATGGGTTTCTGCTCCCAAAATTCTCTTTAGGCTTGGGATATTTTATTCTAATGGATTAATCATCAATTAATACATCATATTTAACCTTTCAAATGTCACTTATCAGGCCAGAAACCGCTTGTATCTGAATATTTAGCAATAATTTCATCAAAATTACGTATACGCCATGCTGCTCGAACGGAACATTTCCGGTGAAATAAAATGGGGTGCAAAAAACTGTGCAACAAATTTGCTAATTTAATTTAAATTTCGTACACTTTTGTAAGCATCATCTGTTCAGTAAGTTCTCACATTTTATATATGCCCATTCCTTCCACATTTTATGTATAAAAAATCAAAGACCCAAGCTGAATCCAGCAGAAACCGAACACTAATTGCTTTGATGGGAAAAAACAGAAGCCAAACAAACACAAAACAGGAACCAACAAGTGGAGGATAAATGAATGAATGGATGGATGGAATTTCCTTTTCAGCATGGCAAAGCATAAAAGCAGGAATCCATAGCAACGACTGACGCATGGAATATTTTGTCATAATTTGTGGGGCGGGGGGTCGGGGTCTGGTTCTTCTTTGTATGCAATTTCCTACCCGAAACTTTTCCGTATATATCACCATGCCGCACGCGATTTGCCTGCTTATAAATTATAGCAGTGTCTGCTCTGGCTGTGTATATTGTGACTGTCCTTGAGTTATTCTATAAATAGAATTCCCCCTGCAGAACCCCTCAAAGACAGCGATGTCAAGTTCTATGGACGCACGACAGGAGACCGAGACCTCCTCTCTTCCCTCTTGGATACCAATGGGTGTCCGCTGTGTGTCCGTTTCGTTAGCACAATTGTAAAATATATTAGATTGTAATTTTCACTTCTTATACACCACGCACAATGCTCTCCGATGATTTATTGCCTCTGTTTCTGCGAGTAGTACTCGGACTCCTCTGTTTTTGATTGCCTGGGTGAAAGCCGATCGGGTTTCGGTATAAAACAATATAAGACCCCCTGCCCTGCTACAATCTGCGTCATTCGAAGGCTTAATTAATTTGTTATTTTGCATCGCATTCGCATCCAAATTAGCGGACACATAAATCGAAAGCCGATAAACAGAAAAACCCATCCAAGCATAAGCATAACTAATTTTGATTTAAGTCACACGAATAATTCACAGAGAATTATCCAGAAAAGTTAGAGCTTATTCAATGGTCAGGGAAATTAATTGAATTAAATGAGAAATGGGAACGTTAAACATTAAAAATAAGGATTTCTGTATCACATTTTAAATTAAATTTATGTATCTTCATCTTCCCTCATTCCCTTTGCTTCATTCCTCCATTTTTAAATCATTTTCCCAATCAATTATCTCTTTCAATAGCCAAAATCCTCTTTAATCCCCAGGCATTTCACTTATTTCTTTACTTCCTGAAACCTTCAACCATCAATATTCCCGCTCTTTTCTATCCACAAATCACTTTGAAAGCTACTTCTAATACCTCATTGATACTGTGTGTTGATTGTTAAACAAATTAAACTGATAAGTGTCACACTTTTGAAGGCAAATAACGAACACTTCTTATCAGTGGACATTTGTTTGCTTCAGCAAATAATGAATGATTATAGTAGAATCGAGTGAAAGATGGCAATACAAGAAATACATAGTGTGTATTTCCCAAATTAGTTTTCTAGATCCATACAGAATGATATTGACAAGCGAAACTGTCGTATTTGTTTAATATCGTGTATAATAATTACATACAGATGTTGCAGAAGGCCTTGAATTGATTAAATCAAGGGAAAATGTTACGATATCTAAGCAAGGGCATTCGTTTATCGTCATTATTAGCAATGATATGATGTAGTAGTCTTTTCAAAACTTGAGTTTAATGGTCTAAAAGGATCTAAAGTGCAAATATAGAAACGTGTGCGTCTAATTATATTTATATAGAGGTTGTAGCAACTGCGATGAGAGTCAACAAATGAGTAAGCAGATTCATTGGACGCTGCCAAGAATTCAAAATCCCACGAAAATAAAACATTTCTGAAGCTCAATGTGAAGGTCGTCGCTAGAGATGGCAGCGTGAGTTGATCAGGAAGCAAAATGTCTGATAAGAAATAATTTCCTCAAAGTACAGAGATTCTTTCTCTCTATATATTTTCCATTCCCGAAATTTCTTAGAAACTCAATGTCAATGCGGGCTTCCTATCATGCTCTGATTTACGGGTCACGCGCCCACCTCTAATCAAAGTCCGCGGCAACGTTTTTGCTCTGCCGCCAGGTAGAGTGTTTATCAAAGTTACGCTCTTGCCCGAATGAACGCGGTGAATGCTCTCAAACAAACCGCCGCGCCGCACAAATAATTAAATCAAAAATTGTATTTTGATTTTTGTGTAAAGACTACACAACGGCTGACGTCATCGGTGGGATGGGGGAAACAACAAAACAAAACATAAAAATCAAGCGCAAATTGAACCGGTTCCGTTTGGTTAATTCGAGCAAATATAGCGCATCCACATAAATTATTAACAAAGAACTGCATTAATCAGTTTCCACTACTTATTGCTGCACTACTCTCTCTCTCACCTTTTCGCTGTGCGTGTGCCTGGAATGGGTAGAGACGAGGGTTAATCCTAGTAGCGAAAGATTTTTGGCCTACCTTTCCCCCCTCTCTGGGGTTATTGCGTTGTTTGGTGCAGCGGAGAAAACGCATTGCCGAAATTCTTGTTGCGTAGTTTGTCGAACTCTAAACTGGGGTGGGTTGATCTCAAACGATGCCCTGATATTCCATGGTGCATTTATGCACTTATGCAAGGTAAGGCATCACTTAATATTTTACTAGATCCTCTTTTGTTCTCTTTTTGTCAAGAGAGTACGGTCCTGTGAGATATGCGGCCTCGAAAAACTAGGAAACTTTTACAGGAGAGTTGTGTGAAAAAGCCTCACCTCATTTAAATCAACCTTGCCAACTTCACGCTCTTAATCCATCTCCCTCTCTCAATCTGCACAACCACCACCAACTCCGCAGGCGATCTAAAACGCAGTTTGGCTGCACTCTCTGTCACTCCTTTGAATTACAGGAAAGGAAAACAGCAGCAGCAGACAGCTGAGCGAAAAGCAAAAGACACAAGGAGAGGGAGAGGGAGAGTAAGTGAGCGGCAAAGAACGTGAGAGAGCATTACAAAATAAATTAGAATATGATGGTACCCAGCACTTGCACATTGCAAGGAGGGGTATGTGGGACAGACGTTAATGTGTAAAAGAAAGAGGAGAGGATATAGAATATAGCGTACAGTTGAGAGAAATATGTATGTAAAGTGACCCATATTAAGGTCCACTCTTGATGCTTGGAATACTTTTTACACTATTTCAGCACTTCAGCACTATGACACTTCCTTCCATTACAGGTCATCTGTCAGTCCTTACACTTTCCTTGCTGCGGGTACTTGTTTTAGTTTTTCTTTGCCAAAGTCATGGCCGATATTTTGAATACCTGACGGGCGGCGCGAGCATTGGCGAACACTCAGTCGTACAACGGACGGCACTCACACGGGCAGCAGGCCATACAAAACAGAAAATAAAAAAAAATAGTGTAGCATACTCGTATAGCTAGCACATAGCACACGCGACGCGACGCGACGCGACGCGACGTTCAAAACGGAACGGAACCGTCAAACTGTTGCTGCAGTTCAATGCAAGTGTCGCCACGGTACGGGACGAATGGTAAACCGTAGTGCAGCATTGTATAAGAGGCAACAAACTAACGGCAAATTGATGGGATTTGAGGAAAGGAGAGGTGGAATAGTAAGACGAAGCCATTCTATGCTTAAACAATATCCCAAAGTGCAGTGCTATGAAATTGTGTGTGTGTGTGTAAATTAACAACAATTAATTGACGACAATTGAAGTGCAGTTCGAGCAGGAGACGACAGGCAGCAACAGCAGCTGCAGCAGCAGCATCATGCAAATGGT